AAGATTACTCAGGAAAACATGACTTCACCAAATAAACTAAATAAGACACCAGGGACCAATCCAGGAGAAGCAGCAATATGAGACCTTTCAGACAAAGAATTCAACATAGTTGTTTTAAGGAAACTCAAAGAAATTTCCACATAACACAAGAAGGAATTCAGAATTCTATCAGATCAATTTAACAAAGAGATTGAAATAACCAGGAAGGATAAAATAGAAATTCTAGAGTTGAAAAACGCAATTGACATACTGAAGAATACGTCAGAGCCTCCTAATAGCAGAAGAAATCATTAGTGATCTTGAAGACAGGAATTTGAAAATACACAGTACGAGAAGACAAAAAAAAATTTTAAAATCAAGTATATCTATAAGATATAGAAAATAGCCTCAAAATGGCAAATCTAAGAGTTATTGGCCTTAAAGAAGAGGTAGTGAAAGAGACAGGGGTAGAAAGTTTATTCAAAGAAATAATATTAGAGAATTCCTCAAGCCTAGAGAAAGACAGATACTGACATTCAAGTACAAGAAGGCTATACAACATCAAGCAGATTTAACCCAAAGAAGACATTAAGGCATCTCATAATCAAACTCCTAAAAGTCAAGGATAAAGAAAGGATTCTAAAAGGAGCAAGAGAAAATAAGCACATAACATATAATGAGCTCCAGCACATCTAGCAGTAGACTTTTCAAAAGAAGCCTTAGAAAGAGTGGCATGATATAAGTAAAGTACTGTAAGAAAAAACTTTCACCCTAAAATAGTGTATCCAGTGAAAATATACTTTAAGCATGAAAGAGAAATAAAGATCTTCTCAGACAAACCAAAGCTGAGGAGTTTTACCAGCACCAGACTTGTCCTAAAAGAAATCCTTAAGGGAGTTACTGAATCTGAAAGAAACAGATATGAATGAGCAAGAAGAAACCATCTGAAGATACACAACTCACTGGTAATAGTAAGCACCCAGAAAAACATACAATATTATTACATTGTAATTATGGTGTGTATACTAGACTTATTTTAAGTAGAAAGACTAAATAATGAACTAATCAAAAATGATAACTCCAACAATTTTTCAAGATATAGATAGTACAATAATCTATAAAGAGAAGCAACATTAAAGTATAGAGTTTTTATTAGTTGTCTTATCCCATGTTTGGTTGTTAATACAATCAATGTTAAGTTGATATCAACTTAAAATAATTGGTTATCAGATAGTATTTGCAAGCCTCATGGTAACCTCAAATTGAAAAACACACAAGATAACATGAAAAATGAAAAGCAAAAAATTCAATTATACCAACAGAAGACAGAAAGGAAAAAAGGAAGGGTACAAAATAACCAAAAAACAAATAACAAAATGGCAAGAGTAAGTCTCTACTTATTAATAATAATATTGACTATAAATGGACTGAACTCTCCGATCAAAAAATAGGAAATGCTGAATGGATTAAAAAATGATGCAATGACCTGTGCCTACAAGAAACACACTTCACCTATGAAGATAAACATAGACTGAAAATAAAGGGATGGAAAAAGATATTCCTTGCCAGCAGAAGCTAAAAACAGAGCAGGAGTAGCTATATATCAGACAAAATGTATTACAAGACAAAAACTTTAAGAAGAGACTAAAAAGCTCATTCTATGTTCTTAAAGGGATCAATCCAGCAACAGGACATAATGATTATAGATATATAGGCACCCAACACTGAGCACCCAGATACATAATATTATAGGTAAAGAGAATGATAGACCTCAATATAATAACAGCTGGAGATAGCAACACCCTACTTTCAGCATTAGACAGAGCTATCCAGGCAAAAAATCAACAAAGAAACATTAGACTTTATCAGCACTGTAGAACAGATGGACTTAATAGATATTTACAGAATATTTCATCCAATGGCTGCAGAATACACATTCTTCTCCTCAGTACATGGATCATTCTCAAGGATAGACCATATGTCAGGCCAAAAAGCAAGTCTTAAAGCACTCAAAAACATTTCATCCAATGGCTGCAGAATACACATTTTTCTCCTCAGCACATGGATGAGGATAGACCATATATTAGGTTACAAAATAAATCTTAAAAAAAAAAAAAAACCTGAAATAATATCAAGCTCTTTCTCTCACCACAATGGAATAAAAACAAAAATAAAACAAGTGGGAATTTTGGAAAGCATATAAACACATGGAAATTAAACAGTGTGTTCCTGAATGACCAATAGGTCAATAAAGAAATTAACAAAAAAACCTGAAAATTTTCTTGAAACAAATGACAATGGAAACACAACATGCCAAAACCTATGGGATACAGGATAAGCAGTACTATGAGGGATATTTACAGCTATAAGTGCCTGCACCAAAAGAGATGAAAAACTTCAAATAAATAAGGATGTATCTTAAAGAACTAGAGAAGCAAGAGTAAAAATTACTAATTTACTACTAAAATCAGTAAAATAAAAATAATAAAGGTCAGGACAAAAATACATGAATTTGAAATGAAGAAAACAAAAAAGATCAATAAAACAAAAATTTAGTGTTTTGTAAAAATAAATATAATTGATAAACCTTTATTCAGACTAAGAAAAAAAAAAGAGAAGACCCAACTAAATAAAAGCAGAGATGAAAGGAAACAGTACAACTGATGCTGCAGAAACTCAATGAGTAACTATATGCCAATAAATTGGAAAAACTATAAGAAATGCATACATTACCAGACACAAGATTGAACCACGAAGAAATCCAAAACCTGAACAGACCAATAACAAGTAATGAGATCAAAGTCATAATAAAAAAATCTTTCAATACAGAAAATCCTGGAACACGACGGCTTCACTGCTGAATTCTTCCAAACATTTAAAGAATTAATACCAATGGTACTCAAACTGTTCCCCAAAACAGAGGAAACTGGAATACTTTCAGACTCATTCTGCAAGAGCAGCATTACCCTGATACCAAAACCAGACAAAGACACATCCAAAATAGGAAAGTACAAGTCAATATCTCTAATAAATATTGATGCAAAACTTCTCAACAAAATACTGAGAAACAAAATTCAACAATACATTTAAAACATTATTCATCATGAACAAGTGGGATTTACTCCAGGGTTGCAAGGATGGTGCTACATCAATCAATCAATCAATCAATGTGATACATCATAACAGCAGAATAAAGGACAAAATCTATATCATCATTTCATTTGATCCTGAAAAAGCATTTGATAAAGTTCAACATTTTTTTCAAGATAAAAGCACTGAAAAAACTGGAAATAGAAAGAACATTCCTTAGCATAATAAAAGACATGTATGACAGACCCTCAGCTAGTATCATACTAAATGGAGAAAAACTGAAATATTTTTCTCTAAGATCTGAACATGACAAGGCTGCCCATTTTCACCACAGTTATTAAACATAGTACTGGAAGTCCTAACTAGAGCAATTAGACCAGAGAAAGAAATAAAGGGCAATTATATTCAAATGGAAGAAGTCAAAGTTTCCTGTTTGCAGATGATATGATCTTACATTTGGAAACCTGAAGACTCCAGGAAAAAAAAAAAAAAAAAAACTATTAAAACTAATCAGTTCAGCGAAGTTGTAGGATACAAAATCAACATGTGAAAATCAGTTACTTTCTATATGCCAACAGTGAACAATCTGAAAAGGAAATAAAATAATGTCCCATTTGCAATAGCCACAATCGAAATTACATATCTGGAATTAAGTTAACTAAAGAAGTTGAAGATTTTTACAATGAAAAGTATAAAACACTGATGAAAATAATTGAAGAAACCATCAAGAAATAGAAAGATTTTCCACGTTAATGGATTGAAAGAGTCATTATTGCTAAAATGCTTATACTACTCAAAGCAATCTATAGATTCATTTCCATCCCTAACAAAGTACCAATGGCATTCTCAGAAACAGAAAAAAATCCCAAAATTTATATATAACCACATAATACCCAATATATCTGAAGATATCCTGATTAAAAACAGAAAAATAAACCCTGGGGTAATCACAATACCTGACTTCAAATTATACTACAGTGTTATAGTAACAAAATAGCATGGTGCTGGTATAAAAACAGACACATAGACCAATGGAACAGAATAAGAAATGCAGAAACAAATACACACGCCTACAGTGAACTCATTTTTGACAAAGGCACCAAGTGACAACACTGGGGAAAAGACAGTATCTTCAATAAATGGTGCTGGGGAAACTAGATATTCATCTGCAGAAAAATGAGATTTAACTCCTATCTCTTGCCACAAATGGATTCAAGACTTAAATCTAACACCTCAAACTATAAAACTATTACAAAAAAACTTTGAAGGAACTCTTAAGGACATTGATCTGGGCAAACATTTCTTGAGTAATACCCCACAAGCACAGATAACCAAAGCAAAAATGGCCAAATGGGATGACATCAAGTTAAAAAGCTTCTGCACAGCAAAGGTGGCAATTACCTAAATGAAGAGACAAGCCACAGAGCTCAAATAGAGTAATTCTAAGCAGAAAGAATAAAGTAGAAGACATCATATTACCTGACTTTAAATTATACTATGAGATGATAGTAACCAAACAGCATAGTACTGGTATAAATAGACACATAAATCAATGCAACAGAATATAGAATCCAGAAATAAAGCCATATGCTTAAAACCAACTGATATTCAACAAAGTTGAAAAAAGTATACACTGGAGAAAGTACACCCTATTCAATAAATGATCCTGAGAAAATTAGATAATCATATGCAGAAGAATAAAACTGGACCCATATCACTCACTGTATAAAAAATTAGCCAAGATAGAATAAAAACTTAAATGTTGACCTGAAAATATAAAAGTCCTGGAAGAAAATTTAGAAAAAACTCTTTAGGTTATTGGCCTAAGCAAAAAATTTATGACTAAAACCTCAAAAGCAAATGCAACAAATATTAAAATAGACAAATGGGATTAAAAGCTTCTGTACAGCAAAAGAAATAATCAGCAAGAGATACTCTGGTTTCTCTTCAAATCATATAAACCTTTTGCCTTTTACTAAAGATTTCCATGGAGAGGAACAATTCTGAGTCTTAATCCACTTTTTGAGGCCCAGCTTTTGCAGGGCTATTAAAAAAAAAGAAGAAAAATCAAGAAGAGTAAACAGGCAACTTGCAGAATGGGAGAAAATATTAGCAACTATGCACTTGGCAAAGTACTAATATCCAGAATCTACAAGGAACTCAAACAACAAGAAAAACAAAACAAAACAACAACAACGTAAATAACCCCATCGAAATGTGGGCAAAAACAAGAACAAACATTTCTCAGAAGCACATATAAAGTGGGCAACATATGAAAAACTGCTCAACATTACTATTCATTGGGGAAATGAAAATTACAATCACAATGAGATACCATATCACACTAGTCAAAATGACTATTACTAAAAAGTCTAAAAACAGACATTTGCAAGATGCATAGAAAAGGGAATGCTTATACATTGTTGGTAGGAATGTAAATTAGTACATTTATGAAAAAATAGTATGGACATGTCTCAAAGAGCTAAAAATAGAACTACCATTCAAACTAGTGATGTCACTACTGGTTATTCATCCAAAGGAAAACAAGTCATTATATGAAAAGATACCTGCATTTGAATGTTTATTGCAACACCATTCGTAACAACAATGTCATGGAATCAACTGAAGCATCCATCAATAGATAGGAACCATACCCACAAACACACTCAGTCATAATAAAGAGTGAAATTATGTCTTTTGCAGCAACATAGATGGAACTGGAGGCATTATCCTCAGTGAAATAACTCAGAAGCAAATTCAAGTACTGAATCTATGCGCTTATAAGTGAGAGCTAAATAATGGGTACACATGGACACACAGAGTGGAATAATAGACACTGGACACTCCAAAAGGTGAGAGAGTGGCAAAGGGGCTGAGGGCTGAAAATTACCTGTTGGATGTAAAATATTCTATAATAAGTTGCCATTATTTTTCTCTGGAACTCTAATATGCAATATATCCATGTAACAGAGCTGTGCTTGTACCCTCTAAGTCTAGTTTATTAATTATTGTTTTTAACAAAACAAAAAAGAAAGAAAGAAAGAAAGAAAGAAAGAAAGAAAGAAGAAAGAAGGAAAGAAAGAAAGGAAGGAAGG